AGCGCCTAGAACGCCTAATCGGGGCCTAGACGATTTTTTATGCGGTTTAGACGTTTATAACATAAAACATTATCAATATGATATTATATATAAAAGTTATATAAAATATCTATATAAAACTAAAAATTATGACATTATAAATAAAAATTAGATAAAATATTTATTTATATTTATATTAAACAATATATGAATATTTATAACTATATATATAAATAAAACTCTAATTGAAATTGAAAAAATACATTAAACAAGATCTATGTAATTTTAGGCGGTCAAGGCGGTTATCTAGGCGTCGGATGAGAGCCTAGCGCCTAGTCGACCGCCTAGACCGCTTTTTAGAACACTGCATATAAATTGATTTATATTAGGACTATGAAATAAGCATAACAAGTTTCAAGATAAATCCAAGAATATCAAATTACCATTTCTCAATAAATCCCTTCGCTTCCCCCATTTTTTCGATTGAGAGAGATGAGCAGAGAAATGAGTGAGACAGAGAGACTCTGCCTTTTACTTGGATTGTAGGCTTCCACCTAAAAACCAAACCAAAACATAACAAACCAAAACCACAATTATCAAATTTGAATTCGAACCGAATTTTGATATACCAAAAAAACCAAATTATTTTAAGTGACTTTGAATATTCTACAATCAAAGGGAATCAACCAAATTTGAAATAAATTAATATTTTTTTTAAAAAAAAGATATAGAAAAATATATTTTTAATTACTAAACAATAATATTTTCTATTTACTTAATAAATATTTAAAACTATTTTGGTAAGATTTCTATTTTAAATGCTACTTCTCAAATTTCTATAAATATTTAATGTATTTTTTTCAAAATTCTCCAAATAGTATTTGTATACATCATTTTTCTTTCAGCAACATTGTGACAATTATTTAATCTACTAAAAAGTTTTAATTTAAATAATTTGTATGAATTATGAACTAATATCACTACTTTTTTCAAAATAAATAATACAAGCCTAATAAATTCAAGATTCATAAAAAAATAGTCAAAATTTAACTTTAAAATCAGAAGAAAATAAAAACACAAGACGTAATTCATTATTAGAAAGAAACATGTAGATAAAATGTCGACACGAAACTTTGTAACGTTATATAATAATATCTCTAGCTGTTTCATTGTCTTTTCTTCAAATCCTTTTCTAATTTCATTTTTTCCTTAACAAAATTAATTATTGATTTCCTAAATTATTTATATATCTTGCAAAAAAAAAATTAGTAAAGTAAAGTAGCCGCCTCATCCTCGTCGTCTCTCTCACCTCGTTAGCTCTCTCGATGAGGAGCCCGATTTAGGGTTTCCTCCATTGATTATATCAGTTCACCATCAACCATCGCCACCAAAGCTCTCTCAAGAATCTTTCGGTGATCACATCTTCTTTTTCTTACTCTCTCTTCATTTCGAGTTTTAGGGTTTTCTCCAACATTGGCGTTTATGATTCTCACTTCTTTCGGTTGTATGAATCTGTATTGATCTGGGTTTTTCTTTAATCGAACTATTAGATGATTCGATTTGATAAAGTTTTAAACTTTCGTTTGCTTAGGATCTCTTGACTAGACTTTTCGTGCTTCTATTCTCAACCCGATTATGCTATGAACTCCGTTTTTTTGTGCGATTGCGGATTTGTATATATGACTATGAAACTGTGTATATAGATCTATAAAGTTCTTCCTTCAGGCATGTCAAATCTCTGGATTGTTGTTATTAGCAAATGCAAATTTCAGTTTGATGTTGCTTATGAGAAGGTTACTTATTATTGCAGGTTTAGGTCACTTTGTTTGGATTATAACAAGGGAAGTTAGATAGATTGTTGTTAGATCTAGAACATGCCGAAAGAGAGGAAAGACCGGTCGGTATCTCTTGATAAGTATAGACGATCGCCACTGTGTTGTGAGTCTAGCTGTGGTTTGAAGCCGAGTGAGAAACAAGTTAAGGAATGGGAAGAGGCTCGTTGTCCTGTTTGTATGGAACATCCTCACAATGGGATTCTTCTCATTTGTTCTTCTTATGAAAACGGTTGTCGACCTTACATGTGCGATACTAGCCATCGGCATTCTAACTGTTTTGATCAGTTCCGCAAAGCTTCTAAAGAGAAACCGTCTTTGTCTTTACTTCATGAGGAAGAGGAAAGTAATGAACCAACTGAGATGGAAGATGTAGCTTCTGACTCAACTGCTGTAAATCTAAGAGGAGAAGCTGCATCTGAGTCAACAGATGTGAGTTTAAGAGAAGGTGAGAGAGGAGAAGAAGAAGAAGAAGGTGAGAGAGGAGAAGAAGAAGTAGTAGAAGAAGAAGGAATTGTAGCAACAGAGGAAGACCAAGAAAAAAACAAACCGCCGAAGCTTACTTGCCCGTTATGCCGTGGACATATAAAAGAATGGGTAGTTGTTGAAGCAGCTCGATATTTCATGAACTCAAAACATAGAAGCTGTTCGTCCGAGACTTGTGATTTCAGCGGAACCTATTCCGATTTGAGAAAGCACGCAAGGCTTCTGCATCCAGGAGTTAGGCCATCAGAAGCAGATCCAGAGAGACAGAGAAGCTGGAGGAGGCTAGAAAGGCAGAGAGATTTAGGGGATTTAATTAGCACACTCAATTCTTCTTTTGGAGGAGAAGAAAGAAGTAACGACGATGGGATTCTATTTGATGGTAGCTTGCTTACAGTGATCTTTCTCATCCGCGTGTTTAGACCAGAGTCGAGTGGCTCAAGGAGTAGTAGTAGTAGCTGGTCTGGTGCATCTAGAGCTAGGTCACAGATAGGTGGGAGAAGAAGGCCACATAGACCTCCAGGGCTTTGGGGAGAGAGCTATGAAGGTAATACAGGAACATCATCTAGAGATGAGGAGAATAATAATCAATCTTCTGATGAACAAGAGTCTGGAACTCGGAGACGACGTCGTTCTAGGAGAAGAGCTATCATTGATGATGACGATGATGATGATGAAGAAGAAGAACAGTGATCCTACAATTTGGTCTTTGGAGTTTATGTAAAGAATATGGGGGAAACTTAGTAGTAATAACCCCACTTCTGAAACCCTATTCTGTAAAATTGGAGATTGAAAAAAAAAGTTTCTACTATTGAGAGACAAAATGTTCAATTATTCATACCGTTTTACAATTTTTTTTTAATAACGACTCTTTTAAATAAGAAAATGTATAATCATCTCTCGACCATACAAAAAGGAGTAAACGGAATTTGAAATTAAAAAGAGCTAGAAAGTAAAGTAATTTAAGCAGAAGCTGCTGGCTCTGAAGTTGCTTCTGCTGCTGCAGCTCTCTTCTTGGCAAAGTATTCATCTGCTCGTGCTTGGTTCTTTGCAACCGATGGCTTCACCCATTTCTTTCTTCCGGGCAACACAGTGAGTGTACATCCTGAAGCTTCAAGCTTCTCTTTTGCTTGTGTTGAGAAGGCGCGAGCTTTGAAGGTGAGCTTCATGCTTAGTTCTCCGGTACCCAGAATCTGAAATCCAAGACCAATCAAAGCGTTTAAATAGAGAAAAAGATGAATACATGATTGAAAAAAGTAGGATCGAAAGAAGCAATACAGTTTGGAAACTAACCTTTAAAGGGAGTTTCCTTTCCCTCCCTGAAGGATTGATCAAACCCTTTTGCTTCAATGTCTCCAATGACACTTCATCGCCCTCCTGAAACCCAGCTGTTTCGATGTCTTTGAGATTAACCGGTAAGTATTTGGGTAATCCTGAACGCATACCTGTTTAAAGAACACAGCAACGCAATGAATGCATCAGAAAAGTAAAGAGGGTATGGATCCATGAAATATCTCTATTCACTAACTACAATCTTGATCCTTAATTCTCAATTCTTGCCTTGAAGCACTAAGACTCTCTTAACATTGCCACATAAAGAATCTATGGAACAAATCTGCCCTAACTAAATAAACTGAAAGAAGCATCACCAAATTTAAACAGAGCATTTTGGATGAGACATTTCATCGAACACTTAGCCTACACAAAACTTCGATGATTCAGATTATATCAAACAAAAGAAACTTTTTACCTCCGGCGATTCCTCTAAGTTTGGGAAGACGACGATAAAGAGCAGTTTGACCTCCTTCAAAGCCTCTCATAATCCCAGGACCCGATCTTGATTTCTGACCTCTCATACCAAAACCACAACTTGCTCCTTGTCCTGCAGATATACCTCTACCTTTTCTCTTCTGCCTCTTTCTAGAACCTGGTTGTGGTCCAAGATTATCCAAACGGAATCTCTCCGGAGCTACAACTTCCGACGTCGCCGCTGCTTGACTAACCACAACAAGTGGTCTCGCAGATTGTTGTTGCTTTCTCGTTTTAAGCTTTTGGTTGAGTTTTAGAGACAGAATCTGACTTGGGTTTGCTCCCAAAACGCTTACATTTCCCTGTAGACATTTCAAATTCAGATTTAGTAGCGAGTGTGTGTTTAAATTGACATTCGTAGAAGAATGAGAGATTACCTTGAATGAAGTAGAAGGAAAGTGGAGACGGTAACAACGGTGGGAGGTGAGAGGATTTGATGAGATTGAGAGTGGAGTAGCCATGGTCACAGGGAACAACAGATGAAAAAAGCTTCAAGGATAAGGATAGAGAGAGAGAACTTTTCTTGAGAAACTTAAGAGCTAAACGACACCGTTTTAAAAGCATAAACACTCAATTGTTTATTGGGCCTTTTCGTTTAGGCCCTTTAGTCTTGTGGAGAATTTCAATTTGAATTACTTGGTCCGAGTTTTGGATATTAAAAAAGAGTCGTTTTACTCGTTCGTATATTTGCTTTTTTTATGTTTAAACATAAGAGATTACAAACAACATATGGTATTGGGATGGTTGAGGATCCGAATCTTAAGACGTAAATTTGCAGATGTTTTTAGTTCGATTTTACTTTAGACAAAGTCGTTATACATGTAGCCACTTGAACTCTGCAAGTCATGCGGACGTTAGCGGAGATCGTGGAGATCGAAAATTGTCTTTTCTAAATCGTTTTATAAAGTTCTCTCTGTTTTCAAATCGGGATTTCGCGGTCCTACATAAATTAGTCGGGGTGATCCGGACACCGATGCCAATAAAAGAAAAGATAAGAAATTATTACTTACACTAACTTTATATATACATAAACATGAAAGTTTTATTTACACATAACACATAATTATAAGTTCAACTACAACCCCAAATCATAATAATCATTACACAATCTCAACCACAGAGAAAACTATATATATATATATTAGCATTTTGTTACTTCCTCTTTAATCTTATATATTAGCATTTTGTTACTTCCTCTTTAATCTTTGCTTAGTGTTTTCGTCACGACAAGAAGAGAACAATCTGTATTACGTGTACACCTGCATTTTATTAAAAGATGTTCATTATCACAACTTTTTCGTACACTCATTAATTGAATAAAAAATAATTTGAAATATTCATATGATTTGAACTCATGATTTTTCTTACTTTTTGAGATTTTGAGTTTGTTGATCGTTCGTAACTATTAAATGGATATTTTGATCTTGAATTATCTTGCGGATTAGATCTTTAGGATCTCCAACATCTGTAAACGTCTCTGCTTTAATCTGTTTTCGACATGATTATGAGACTAAATATTAAAACAAATAGTTGTTATGAAAATAACTTATTATTAAATGATTTAGTCAAGAGATTACCCCATGATTTAAACATATCTCCTTGGCTTTCTCTAATATACCCAAAGCAATTTTCATATTCTTTTCTTGAGCCAATCTTATGAGTTCTGAATCTGCAAAACACACAAGAACATAAATAAAACCTAATGAATTTTCAACAATATAGATTTTTTTTGAAATTTTTTAAGAATTAATCGAGAAAACGACTTACTAGGTGAAAATGGATAGAAAATTTGAGCAAAACCGACTGATGAAGAAAGTACGGTAGGAGGAGTGAAGGAATTTTGTGGCTGTGTTGCAAAGAGAAAAACTTTGGAGCTCTCAATGGTATCTTTCTGGTTTTCAAGGGCCCAAATGAGTAAATCATAACTTGAATTACTCTCGTCAATAATCACCATAACATTCTTCATCTTCTCTATTGTTTCTTCTTCTACGTTATTCTTCAAGCTTGTGCTAAAACCTCTTGTCAATGTCCAACTTTATAGTATATTTGGAAATGGATTAACATGTCAAAGAAAGAGATATAAAAATAAAAATCGTAGGTGATTGGGTAATTGAAAGGCATGGTTTAACGACTTCCTTCTTCATTCTCCTCATTTACATACTAAAATATAATTATACATACAAATAACAGAAATACCCTAAAATAAATACCACACTATTAAATTTTATTCCAAAAATATCATTAGTAGTTTATTTTTCCAATAATACAACACTACATATAATATAATATTAAGGGGATATTGTTGGTATGTGATTTAAAAAGAGTTTTAGTGACTTAAAATGATATGTAGAATATGTTGTTATTCAATCAAAATTTTTAAAACATTTGTTAAAATTTGGTGTTATTAGTTTAAGGTTTGTAAAAAAGTAATCTAAAATCTTCATAAATCTGGATATTGGATTCATACTTTAATAAAGTCAATAAAAGATTTGTATTATTCAATTAAAACAAAATAATCTATGATTGTTAATGAATTAAATTATTATGTTATTAGTTTAATTATGACTTTCTACACTTTTCTTCATAAAATAAAGTCGTGAAAAATATCATCAAAATAAAGAGATTGTTGGGAAATTTTTACAAGATTATGAATAACTAATCAACAAGATTATAGAAAACTCTCTAACAATAGTTTAGAATCTTTCATTTGTTTACTTCATATGATTTTATTAAAGTCATCAAAATTTCTTGTAAATTAAGAACCAATAACACTTTCTAAACTTGGGTGTAGTGTGTGCCACAATAGTATTGGAAACTCGTTATAGCCTCAAATTCAATCCCACAATTTGCAAATTCTATGAATGTGTCAGTTCGGTTTTGGTTCAGATGCTTAACTCGTGATGAATTTGTAGAAAACTTGTTACGGAAAAATTCAAAAGACTAATCAGAGGCTTATTCAAATCCGGATAGAGACAATGCTAAGTCTAAAAAATTAGCATTATATTAAAAAATAAAAAAACAATCGAATAATATGATTTCATTCTACAACAGATCACCAATTCTCAATTGAAATATTCCATTAAAATGGTCTTAGTGGACGGTGTTTGGTAATTGCCGGATACACGCCATTGATGACATAAAACATTATTCTCTTTGTCGGAGATTTTTAATCAAATCAAATATTATTAGAGAGTTGGTAAAAGAAAAAGACACAATTAGCTTAACGGGCTAAAAAAAGTTTAGTTAATGGGCCTAAAGGACACTTATCAAGCCCATTATAACCTCTGCATCTTCTTCTACCTCTGAATCCAAAACCCTAGCGACTTTTTGTTTCTCTCTCGAGACGCTCTGCTAAAGCTTCTTCGATTGTGATCTAAGGTACTCGATTATTCTCTTTTTTCCATTGTAGTTCTCATATAGAGCCGTATGAGTTTTGGGTTTAAACGGATTTAATAAAGTCTCGAACTTTCGATTCTGAGTTTGATTTTGAAGTTATAGTATGACTCTTAAAGTTTTAGATGAAAATAATGGAGAAATTGAGTTTAAAGATGGTTACTTTAACTCATCTGATGAGCAAGTATTAGTTTGTTGTTGTATGATGCATTAAAGTCTCTTAATCTTCTTTTACCAATTGAGACATTATTGTAAAGAAGAGTTATGTTATAGGTTTTATAATGGAGAAATCTCGAGAAAGTGGTTTCTTGTTCTGTAACTGGTGTGGGACGATGCTTGTCTTGAAATCAACTAAGTATGCAGAGTGTCCATTATGTAAAACAACGCGAAATGCAAAAGGTATCAGAATCTAAACAGTTTTGTTTCTTGGTTGGTTCAATCTTATTGTTGTGCTTTTATCGTCATTGTTTTACAGAGATTATCAACAAGGACATAGCTTACACAGTTACTGCTGAGGTATGTTTTTGCTGCATCATACATATAATCAATCGTATTTGGTTTCGGTTTCATGGATAAGCGAAAGATCTCTCTGCTCTTGATTTGTGTTTGTCCATTGTTGTTAGTCTTATGAACACAGTGTAAAAATACCAGATCCTTGCTATGTAATTAGTTTCAGACCTGAAAATGGAGACTGTTTTTGTTATTCTTGCAAGAATATTTCATCATGATCAATTCCGAGTTAGTATATATAACTCATGATCATTGCTTTTTTTGTAGGATATCAGAAGAGAACTAGGAATATCATTGTTTGGTGAAAAAACGCAGGAAGAGGCTGAGCTACCAAAGGTTAGTAATAACAAAACAGATTTTTACGCGTTTTTCCTCAGTCCATGACCTGTGATTTTGATGATACTTGTTGTCTTTGCAGATCAAAAAGGCGTGCGAGAAATGCCAGCACCCGGAGCTTGTATACACGACCAGACAGGTATAATTCTCAACCTTTATGATTGTGTGGTTTCAAGTTCTTGGCTTCTTGTTTCAATTTCAAAGTATTATGTTTCATTGGATTTGCAGACGAGATCAGCTGACGAAGGACAGACAACATATTACACTTGCCCCAATTGTGCTCATAGATTCACAGAAGGTTGATGTTATAATGATCTCCAGCATGTGATTCGGATTCACCAAGCATACCAGTTTTGTTCTTACATTCGATGTTGCAAATTCAATGATTCAGTGCCATCATTAGAACCTTATGTATATGTCACCAACTCAAAATTTTCAATGTCATCATCAGAAATAGCTGCAACTGTAATACAAGTTTTCTTTAATTTTACTTATTTTAAGTAGTGAAATAGATATAATAAAATATTAAAATCCTTTATATACGAAAAGAATATCCAAAGAAGCACCAGAGGTCCAGAGCATAACTTGTATAAGCACGCTCACTAAATTTACACAGACACGTCAAAAACTAATCTTAATCCAACGGCTACAAAGCCTACGATGATTTGTTGACCATCTTAAATGCACCGTACATTACATACACCTAACCACACCAAATCATTTCCACCGCTCAGTTTAAAAACAGAACCTGTTTAGGAGCAAGTTTCGAAACAGAACCATGGAAACGGCGTTGAGTCCTTCTTCTTCTCCGGCGACTCTTCCGTCGTTCCTCCTCCTCTTCCTCTTCGTATACATCGTCGGATATTTCCTTATCTTCCGTTCATGGAAATCATCATCACACTTAGGCGCTAGCTGCTTAATGTCACTCTTCCACGGCACTCCCGCCGTTATAATGGCTTCTCACGCGCTACTCACAACTACACGCGCCTCCGTACCCTCATTCGCTTCTCCCAACACTGCCGTGGAATCAACCGTACTCGATTTCAGCATGGCTTATTTCACCGTTGATCTCCTCCATTACCTAATCTTCCTCCCTAACGACTTCATCTTCATCCTCCACCACATTGCGACGCTATACGTTTTCGCTACGTGTCGATTCTCTGTCGGTCACGGAGCTCACGCGCTTCTCATTCTCTTGATCCTCGCGGAGGCGACGAGCGCGTGTCAGAACGTGTGGACGATCGCCGGGTATAGAAAACACGACGTCGTTTTAGCGAAGAGAGTGAGAGAGGTTTTGTCTCCGCCGTTTTACTTGTTTTACACTGTGGTTCGTGGTTTGGCTGGTCCGGTGGCTTTGTATGATATGGCGGCGTTTTACGGTAGTGGTGCGGCGGAGGGAGTTATTCCACGGTGGGCTTGGTTATCGTGGCTTGTTGTGATTGGTTTTGCTATTTTTGTTAGTGTTTTGTGGGTTTTACGTAATTGGGTTGATTGGTTTAGAGAGAAAAACTTTAGCAAGAAATATAAGTGAACTGATTAATATTTTTCCTTTTCGAACAAAAGGAGAAAATTGTTTGATTGATATAAATGTAGATTTTTAGCAAAGTTCATATAAATTTATTTGATTGTATTTGTATAATGTACTATTAACAATATTGTACTTTTATGTGAATCTAAATCTTATTGTTATTCACTTCTTTGTATCGTTTTTTTTTTTTTACCAAACTGTATATGTGAATCTTATGTAAACATAAATGAAATTACTTTTTCTTTTAGAGAAGGAGAAAATTATTTGATTTATAGAAGTATAGAATTAAATATAATTTATATAAAAAGTATATAAATAAATAGGAGTGTTCATAAAATTTATGGATCTAAATCTTGTATTGTTATTTGTATTGTAAAGTTTTTTTTTAATCAATTTGCATATGTGTATCTATAAATAAATAACAATATTTGAGAAGTGTTTTTGCTGACGTGTCGGACTCTCGGCTCTTGTTGAACCCTTGATTTTGCGTAATTAATTATTCCACTGGAAATTATGTAACTTTACCATAATATTTATTCGTAGATTATAAAAATAAAGTAGATATAAGGTTATTTACTTTTTTCTTAATGGCGATAATACCATATATCACCGTTGACCATATCTCTTTAAGAATATTTACATATAGATTTAGAGAACAAAGGAAATATTACAATTAAATCATTATGATAATGGCGAATCTATTTAGAATATACAATTTATCATATTGATAATGCCGACTTGGTCTATTTAGAATAGAAATTTCCTTTTTCTGGATTTCTAGATATTTTTAAATCTTTAAAATTGTTAAAAGCCCTATATTCTCCACTGCCTCTCAGCTCCTATAAATACCTTGATAGGGGTTTTCGTCCCAACTCATATTAATCTATAGCGTTTTAAACTGTTACAATAGTTTTATATGAGTTTTAATGGTTTTTATTTATGATCGTAGGTGGATGCATGTAAGCTACGTTATGAACCGATCGATGCATGAAAATTTGGATCCTATTTCGACAGATATATTGGTGATCTTATAGATTTATATATAATGATTTTTTTTTTGTTATAGGAATTTTAATAGTTTTTATTTATGATCGTAGGTGGATGCATGGAAGCTACGTTGTGAACCGATCGATGCATGAAAATTTGGATCCTATTTCGGCCGATAAATTGGTGATCTTATAGATTTATATATACTGATTTATTTATTTTTGTTATATCAATCTATAATTTATGTTATGGTTTCACTGTTTTCGCCACACAGATTTAATTGGCGACGTGAAACGATGCATAATAATTTGGAATATGTCAACAAGTGAGTTTCTATCTTTTATTTACCATTTTCTTTTTGCTATGAATATGTGATTTACGTTAGGATTTCAATGTTTTCCTCTAATTACTGAGGATATGTAATCAATTCGATCGAGTACATCTTTCTAAACAGGTAAAGCATACATCGATTATTATTTTTTAATAGTTTTGGGGTATTATTTTGTGTTATTTGTTTAATATAATAGTGTCGTAAATTTGTTTTTTTGTATTTAGGTTTCTCTTAATTAATCAAGAGATGAATTCATCAGAGAATTATGGATATTTGTATCTCAGATATTTACTTTTTTTAATACAAAAAAGGTTAAACGATTTTTGGCTTTTTTAATAGATTTTTTTTTTGTATGAATAATAGTTTATTTTTCTTTAATCTTATTTAGTATGTCGTATAAGAAAGAGAAATATTACAAATAATTATTCTTTTTATTTGATTAGATAACAACAATGTAAATTTAACTAAAAGGATATTTGCTTCCTTTTTTTCTAGATATTTTCGTAAGAAATGATTTGTCACCTAATTTTAATCTATATCTCTCTTTTTTTTCTTCTTATTTTAGTTGTTTAATACGTTTTAATTTTGTTTTGGATATCAATGTTTTATTTATTATTCATATCGATTTCTTACTTTCAAATTTATCATGATTGTTTCATACATATTAATGGTGTTTTCCCTTGCAGGTTGGATGTGTGGAACAACTACGTGACTTGACGCATGCAAATTTGGATCCAATTTAAACTGATCGAGAATTAATTAGTTTCTATCTTTTATGTCCCGATTTTCTGTTTTTGTTATGAATCCACCTTTTCGTCCCCAATTAGGTGTGGAATTTGAAAGTTTGCTTCGGACGGAAGCATTTTTGCTATCCATTGGGGAAAAGGGTTGGGTTTAGTTCTGTTCTACCTATAATCTATTAGTTTGATCAATTTATGCTTTTTTGTATGCTGCACCAATCTTTTAGTATCAAAATATTAAACAAGCTAGGGTTTATCTCTACACCTTTCATCTAATTCTAATCTTTGACAATTTTGTGCTTTTTTTGTTTGCTGCACCAATCTTTTAGTTTCAAAATATTAAACAAGCTAGGGTTTATCTCTACCCCTTTCACTAATTCTAATCTATTTTTCATTTTTTAATCTTTCGTTTTCAGAATCGGGGGATCTAAATTTTTTTTTATATATATATTTTACCACCATGAGTTCCTTGATCCAAATCATTGATGAAAAGGAAGGGGACGTTTATCTTTTTTAGATGAGGGCAAACGGTAGAAGAAGAGTGGTAGTTTAGAAAAGAGAAAAGAAAGCTTATAGGTTATCCACTATATAACAATGATTTATTATTATGTTAATAATTTTTTATTGGGGTTTATATCTTAATTTTAGTAACTCTCTTTCTCTTGAAACTCTTTATTGACATTAGATTTTCTGCTCATTCACTCATTAGTAGATGTAGAATTCTTCTCATAATACGATGAAGAAAGCATATACAAAATGGATGGAAGTAATTGGTGAAGGAAGCTAAAGGATTCGTATGCTCAGTCTATTACACGCACCAGATATATAGAGATGTGTTGCATGAGCTGGCTATGGCTAAGTAGATGTAGTTTTGAATCCCATTCAATGAAAAAAAAAAGCTAGGGTTAATTATTTTTTTTATTTTTTTTTGTCATCAGCTAGGGTTAATTATATCATATGATTCATGAACGTGTGATCTCTTTTAACCTTAATGTATTTGTTTTATGATTTAGTGGGGTTTTTTTTTTGTTGGTTATTTTATGTGATTAACATGTAATCTCCACGTAAATAATTCATTATTATTCATGTGATCAATCCTGCGGGCACAACAACTTTTTTACCTAAATATAGATGTAATTTAAATTACAAAAAAATCAGCGTTTATCATTTTTTTTTTTTTTTGATAACCCAGTATCCAGACCACACAGTGATCTGACTAGCCCACTGGGCCTAAGCCCACGTCACAGAGATTTTTAAGCCTCCACTTAAGGGCCCCCTGATAAACTGGTGGTCTGGGGCGCCTGAGCAAGTCCGCATGTAAATTCCCAGGTGGCCACAGGAGTGAGAGAGCGAAACTGCGTCTGGGGAGGATCGATCCCTGGCCTAGACCAACAGGGCGTTTATCATTTCTTTCTTTTCGAGAACAATGATCCGCCAGTAATTAACTCGGAGATAATCTCGACGTTTTGAACTTTTGGGTTCTCTTTTCTTGGAAAAGGCTAGGTTCGAATCATCAAAAAATCGTGGCAGTAATGATTTTTTTTCTTTTGTTTGTTTGTTTGTCTTCGTAGAGAGGGAACGATTCTTGGTGTGATCTCTTGCGTACGTACTTATAACACCATGCTATAATTTTTTAAAAATATGATTACATTGATGGTGATGGTGATTCGATGGCTGGTAAAGTGTATTCAAAGTTTAATCTTTTGCCGGGTAGGATTGCCAAGATGATCTGTCCAAATTTGATTATCTCCTCACTTCAAGTTTTTTCTTTTCCTCCAACGTAAGTTAGAAATAATAGTAAATTGTGATGTTATGGTTTTATGAAGTACGGTCGAAAATTTAAATAACATATAGAATGTCGATCAAAATTTTTATTGATATTATGCCTACATATGTGTTCACAATTTCATGTCAAGTTGTATGAACCAAATTAAGAGGGGTTTTGATTACAAATCCAACATGCAATGATTCTGTGGTAAATCTTGCGAGCACTAAAGATATTTTTTTGCGGGCACTAAAGATATTGTTTGCGGGCTCTATAGATATTTTTTTACCCACAAATAGATGTAATTGTGTTCGTTGGTTGAATATTAAAATTTTATTTTGAGATTTGTTTTAATACAAGGATAAAGATTATATGATTTGGATGATTTTAAATTTTAATGTATTTTTGTTATGTTTTTAGTTACAATGGAAATTGATGTGGTATTTTATATTTGAAGTCATTTTTCAAATGTACTTCCTAAATATAATATTTAGGACAAACCCGTCACATGTTTTCACCCGCCTTCCATATTAACAAATTTGAATACATTATATGGGAATTATAGAGAATGACGTTGACAGTTCTGATAAGCGTTTATGCATCTATATAAATATTTAATTATAAATTCGGATTAAAAATTAAACATGTCCTTAGTAAACACAACAAATATGTATTGAAATAAAGTTATATATTTTGCAAAAAAAATATTTGGATTGGATAAAGGGTATGGTAAGTACGTTGCTATTTGTTATTCTTTTTTAAAGCTTTAAAATCGTTTAGTCTTTGGAATGAAGAAGACTAAATATAGAGAAGAGAGTACTCATCAGAAGTAATTAAAGAGTAAATAATAGAGGTTAAAAATTGAAATCTTCATTGTTAAGAGAGTAGAGTGGAAATATAAATCGAGTAAAAGACAGAAGAGAGATCCAAGTTCATGGAATGCGTAGTTAGGGTTTGAATCTATTGAGTGGGGGTTTGACCTAATGAGGGGAGTATTCTATCCAGGATTGAATTTGTTTCAGTTTAATATACCTTCTCTAGGTTTCACTTTCAAATCATAACTAACTCCATTTTTTTTGCTTTCTATTTTTTTTTTTTTGCATTTTATTTTATTTGGCTTTACACATATTAATTCATGGTGTTTATGTATGGTTATAGGTTACGGATGCAACGTCGTTAAACAATTACAGGACAATTAAATTGCTGATTCAATCGAACATATGGTGAGTTATTCACTTTAGTACTTTCATGTTTAATATTTAAATTATGCTTGGATGTATTGAGAAATCTATAAGCTTTCCCATAATATTTTGCGAGCAGCTTAGATTTCATATTCTTCACTAAAAAAAAAAGAAGCTTTGATTTTGTATTTACCATATTCTTCACTAAAAAAAAAAGAAGCTTTGATTTTGTATTTACATAATTTGATATCAGTTTGATTATTGGTTCCATCATGATGCAAATTACGGCCTCTCAACAACCCTAATAGACTATAATCGTTGGGAAGTCTTCTTTTTTCTCTTGCTTCTCTCTGATTATCTTTCACCAGGAGTCTCAGTTATTATTATTTCTTTGTATTGATGCGACCAGAAGTTTTATCTCTTTTTTTAAATACTGATCTCTTTATGGATTTTTCATTTAGGTATGAACATGGTTCGTTTCACGGGGTGTTTCGGTGTCTTGCCTTGAATCAAGGCGTGTAAAAACGTAAAGCTTGTTTTTATCTATCTTTTTTTTTTTATTGTCACGTCTTTATCCATCTATGTAATGTTTAATCATCAATTATTATATTAAACTTCAATAAAGGCAACAACATCCTGGTTGGTTTGTTTTATCTGATTAGTGTACCAAATTCAATTAGAACTATATCAGATCTAAGAAATTATTGATTATTTATACATGCAGGTTATGTGTGATCCTTATACACCAGCTGGTGTTCCAATTCCAACCAATAAGAGGCACAACGCTGCTAAAATTTTCAGACACCCATCGTTGCCTCCGAGGGGCCTTGGTATGCTCATCTTCTTCTTTTTTAGCTATACATATTATTTTCGTTACTATAAATTCTAATAGTGTTATTTTTTTTAAACGATTGTATGTTTTGGATGAATGAAAGCAACCACGATGCATGAAGAAGATTTAGGTGATGTTTCAATTAATCTTTTATCTTTAATTTATCGATTTTCTAATTTTACAAAAATGTTCTCACCGAGTAGAATATACTTTTGAGTTTTGAGTTAAATCTTTCACAGTCTGTTGTGGATTAGCAACGTTTCAAGCCATATTAACTATTGTGTTGTGGCAGTTCGAAAGATTCATATAAATTGGACTATTGCTACAAAGAAAACAGAATCACAGGTTCAATTCTATCAAAAGAGATAAAGCCTCTTATCTCTACTGTCTTTGAGGGTAAAGATGCTAATGTCATCGCCCACAGAGCACGAAATTGCGGAAAAACACATCCCATACATGTATTGAAAGCAATCCCATTAAGGTATTGATTATCAGACATGATACTATAGATGAAAAATGCTAATTATTGTATCGCATGGTTTGTAGGGAAATGATAGGGAGCTTGGTTTAACCGTTCTTACAATGTCTGAGATGATATCCATGGCTGAGGAAAGAGGAGACTCAGTTTCTGTATCAGTTTACGAGGTTTCTCAAGAAACCGTGTATGACCTTTTAGACCAAGAGAAGCGAGTGGTTGCTGTACTGGAAGGTGCACAAGGGAAAATTCAACTAAAGGGACTTCCTCAGGCAAGTCATTTAGTGTTCTTGATCATTAATATTTCAATGTTTCTGCTTTCAGGTACCTGTGAAGTCACTCTCATAATTCCATAAAGGTGTGATGATACATGTTACCACTGGCAACGCCAATCCAGGCTCCCTTGGGAGGATGAACTTTCTTGATATGGCAGGTTGAGTATTTTAATATCACATTTTAATTGTCTTTTCTTTGTGATGATCTTATGTCAGCATGTGATTGGTGTTGTCTTTCTCTGATATGATATGAGGATTCTGATAGAAGCAGTTAAAAGACTAATTACTATTTACTAAGGTTTCAATTTAACCAAGGTTTATTATGAGGGTAAACCATAGTTGGTTTAGCTTTTCTTGTTTGGTCTATGTCTATATATAATGTCTGAGAGAGTTGTGAGTGTCTTTTATCGAGTAATTGGAGAAATCTTAGGGGGAGTGGGAGGAGCTCCATTGTCAAATTCCTCGAGTCCTTGTAATTCTCGTCTTGATATTCTATGAAATACCCTTTTCTATAAACTACTCCTATCAGATTCCAGGAAACAAAACAGTGCTCTAGCTCCTCTAGAGATTGCCAGAGTTAATAAGTTGATATATGCTTTACAGAATGTCATGTATGCTCTCAACGGAAATGAATCCCATGTGCCATATCGGGAGAGCAAACTCACTCGAATGCTGAAAGATTGTTTAAAAGGATACAACAGACGTTGCTGATCACATGATTGGTATACTTTTCTTGCTGTTGAGTTCGTTTTAAGTTTATGATTCACTGAATGTAACTGCAGGCGATGCTAACCCTTTTGTTTTTTTTTAGCCTCGGGAATATAGCCAAAACTCCTTTTACATGTTAAACCGAGCCATGACTAATCCTACTAAGAAGAAGATCTACGGTCTTGAAAGATCTATTTCATTATGCTCTGCCGCTCAAAGGAGACAGACACCTTTGACTGTGTCTGCTACTTCTAGAAAACAGACAGTGCTAAGGGGAAATGTGACAGAGAGAAAAGACTAAAATCAACACTGCTGCTTCTGCAATTAAAGCAAGGTAAATCTTTCAGAAACAACTTTGTATCAACTCTAAGCCTCAATATCCATGATATACCTGCATCTGCTCCGTTGTTCAGTTTTAGAACATCAAATAATGATGATTTTTTTTCTCAATGTTTGAAGGAAACTGTTCCGGGAAGCAAACGATTCGGTGAAATGTAAAAATAGCATGTTGGAAAATTTAATTAATACGTCATGAAGTAGAACAATCTAGATTCTTCCTTTACAAAGAGGTAAAACAGAGGGTATAGAAACAGAGACTTAGAGACCAAGAGTCTTAATTAAGGAGAATTAATAAAAAGCATGTTCGAGAATTTAATTAAGACATGTCATGATACGGAAGAAGCCATGTTCCTTCTTCCTTTAAGATGTAAAGGCTTTTGGTTTAAGCTTAGCCTTAAAAGAGAGGAAAAACAGAGTATATGGAAACGGAGACTAAACCAAAATTGAAACTTTGTTCCTTGGTTTCGAAATAAAAGCTAATTATATGAAAATATAAGCATACCCGTCTTTGAATTAGGAAGGTGCAATAACGAAATCGATTTGATATTTCTGATTGATGAGAGAAAGGATAAAAATTGGAAAGTATTTATTTGAAAAAACTTTTTTTTCTGTGGCATGGTGTTTAAGGAGAAAATAAGGAAACAGAGATTTCATGAAGAAATAAAATAGAGCAAGTAACGAACAAGAAGGGACGAGGAAAATTAAAGCGACGACATTAGTGAGTTCAAACTATAAACAATTATATTACTTAAAATTTATATATACAATTAAACTAATTTATGTATATTATAATAATATATTTTGAGAGACTTTGAGAGAACCTCTCACTGCACATGCTCTCAATACTGCTTTCTATAGGCACGAGCTGTCGTTCAAGAGGTTCACTTTCTTCCATTCAATCATACTGATAAGAGAAAATCTCTAACTAAGAGCATGATTATCCATAGTGTCTTAGAAATAAATCTTAGGAATATTTAAGTAATATATTTGTAAAATATGGTTCTTAACTATTTTTTTGTTGCTTACCTAAGAAACCCTCTTAGCAATAATGGTTTAGTTGGGATTTAATTTTAATCATTTATTGCTAAGATCCAACTTAAGAAAACTTTAAGAACCTGCCTTTAATCATGGTCTAAGATGCATAGTGCACATGAGCAAGTAAATTGTTGATTGCCATTTAACTTCTATTTCTAAAAATATTGGTGTAGATTCATATCAGCTAATATTGCCGATGATTCAAATCCAAAATCTTGAACACAATAAAGCAAAGATTAAGTGGAGAGTTAATACTGTGATAGACAATTTTGCTGAATTATTATATATCTTAGTTTTTTTAGGTTTTCATTGGTAGCCTTAATGAAAACTCGGGCAATTATTTTGAGACGGTCCTAATAAAAAAAGTCTAATTGTTCCATTAAAGGAGAATGATTTTTTTATTTGAGTCATTAACAGTATTTACTTTGTGTAATAGTTGTGAGATATGATTTAGTCGGTTTACCCGGTACAATCAGACTTTCGACATAGCAAACGAAACCTCTTAACAATAGTTGTTGAGTTAGCTGCAAATTCATCAAAATATTTCATAGAGAACCAACATTTGGACTTGATATACGAGCTGCTACACTAGAAGAGCAATGGTTTGAACAATTTGCGAGATAATGAATGTTGTTCTTTAGGATAAAGTGTGTGTCTTTTTTTGTAAAGGGATTTGGAGGTACTTGAAAATAATTTTTTTGGTTCTCTGGTCAATTTTGTACGCCACTCTTTGATCTAGAGGTATATATGATAGTCCTTAGCATTGCATCTAGCTGTATTGCTTCATTGTTGTTGTTGTTACTCGGGGACTAACAGTACATTCGAGGTTTGGTATACCACTTAACCCTAATCAATCCACTACTTACTTGATAAAGACATATTCTCATCATGTATATTTGATTAGATTAGCTAGGCTCGTAATATGGGACAAAACCCCGAAGATGAGCAAGAAATGCTTTGAAAGATTTTATCGTAGCATGCGTGTCATATCTGCACCCTTCGGTGCTCCCTTGTAAAATCAGAGTATATGAGTATAGATACTTAATAGGTTTAAGTGTTCTTCGATCTTGGACGATACATTCCAACTTATACTGGTCGATACAGAGGTTATACAAATTTTTGGTTTTTCTAATAAAATAAATTGTTTGGTGAAAGATTGCTATACCTTTAACAATTTTATTTTGTTTGTTTGGGTCACGACATACATACTATAATTGATAAAGAGTATTATCGTCGCCGTGGATTCAGGTTTTTCCAAGGACGATGGATACATGGCCGGCCCTATAGACATCAACAAGAAACTTTTGCTGTAGCCCAAATTTTGTTTCTGAAATTCTTCAACAAAAATTATTTACGAAACGGCCCTAATTTTATTTATTTTACGATAATTGGCCCTAAATTTTAAAACCTTTCAAAATAACCAAAAACTTTTTTTTGAGTATTTGGCCCTTCAAATCTCAGGGCAGGCCCTGGATGGATAACACTTAGAGATTTTGATTCATGTTATCGGTTCGCTTAGTCCTACTTTTTATGATTTTAAAATTCATTGGAATTTATCAATCTTTGTTTCACATATACCTTCCTTGGGTGCGAATGATTACTGCGCATTCGCATCTTTTAGGAAAATTGATACTTAGTTTTGAGTATGTTTATTTCCCTGGTCCCATAATATCTTTTGTTTGGATATTTTATTGTTTGCATTGTTATGGTTTGATCTATTAATTTAAATAATTATATTTAATTGGTTGGGTCGTGAGTGTTAGCAATATTGAAGACGGAAAACCAATAATAAAGTGTGGGATCAAGTTTATGTGGAATTAGAAGATGAATTGTAAGTTATTAATTTAATCAAAATTAGATTTGTTATAGTTTAATTTGGGTAGTATGCTAAAAACTTAATTTTATAATAAATTTACGTCTATAATGTCGACTATGGTGGATACTGTTGTAAATTTTTGAGAGAATGGAGTAAACAATGCGATAATATCACCATATTTATCATGAGATTCACTAGAATAGAAGTCACTCGAGGTATTCGAATATTGTTATTTTTCATGTATATATAATTTCTGAATATTTATTAGTCGATCACGTTTCTATGATATTGTTTCTGATGGTTTTGGCTACTATTGTTTGCAATGGCAACCGAATGATGCTAAACAATATGTGTGCTGAAAGTTGCAGGAATGCGGAGTTGTTTTGTGTTAAGGATCACAGAAATTTTTATTAGTTACTAAGCTTAAAAAAAAAAAAAAAAAAGCTTATCTATTTTTTTTGTTTCCATTTTTCCGAATTGTTTTTTTTTTCCTAAACATGTAAATATGATCTAAAATGAAGTTTGAGGCTTTACAAAAGATAAATAATTACACAAAAGCAACCTTGGCAAAAAAAAAGATAAAAACAAGAGTACAATAGAGTAAAGAAAGATTTGGAAATAGATAAAGAATCCAAATAAGCATAAGCTTTGTTCTTCTCGAAGTGATGATGTTTCGTAGCTCCACTCCACCATCTTGAAAATGATTTGAGCAGCAAGCCGCAAGGAGTTATGGAGAATGTTATTACGCTGTCGCCAGAACTTATAGACCACCACTTGAGATGCTACTTTTCTAAGCAAAGAAGGCACATGACTGGAAGAGCGTCAGGTCCAAGAAAATAGCTCAATCCAAGAGCAAAACAACCTTTGTTGCGGAAAAAGCCTAGAGAAAACTAAATTCCACACCTGGAAAGAGCTCACAGAGGAGCAGAAGGTGATCATGAGACTCCGTTAGGCAATTATTTAAGTGACTCTGGAGAGGAAGAGCGTTAGGACAAAGAAAGTAACTCAGCCTAAGAGCAAAACAACTTTTGTCGAGAACAAAGCCTAGAGAAAACTAAATTCCACACCTGGGAAGAGCTCGCAGAGGAGCATGAGGTGATACCGAGACTCTGTTGCAAAAGTGTAAAGACAACACTCATCAAATTGAATTTGTTCCCAAGAAGCCAGTCTTTGATGAGTGGGCAATTCTTAAAAAGTGTAAGGAGAAGAAGAGCGTTGGGTCCAATAAAGTAGCTCAGCCCAAGAGTATAACAACCTTTGTTGAGGATAAGGCCTAGAGAAAATCAAATTTCCCATCTCAGAAAAGCTTACAGAGGAGCAGGATGTGATCCTGAGACTCCGTAGCAAAAGTGCATAGACAACACTCATCGGATTGAATTTTTCCCTAAGAAACCAGTCTTTAGCGACTGGAGAGGACGATTGGAGATTTATTTAAGTGTCTCAACAGAAGAAGAGCGTTAGGTGCCAGAAAGTAGCTCAACCCAAGAGCAAAACCACCTTTGTGGAGGATAAATCCTAGAGAAAACCAAATTCCACACCTTGAAAAAGCTCAGAGAGGAACACGAGGTGATCCCCAGACTCCGTTGCAAAAGTGCAAATACAACACTTGCCCCCAAGAAGCCAGTCTTTGATGAGTGGGCAATTATTTAAGTGACTCTCGACGGTTCAAGAAAGTAGCTCAGGCTAAGAGCAAAACAACCTTTGTCGAGGACAAAGCCTAGAGAAAACTAAATTACACACCTGTGAAGAGCTCACAGAGAAGCAGGAGGTGATCTCGAGACTCTGTTGCAAAAGAACAAAGACAACACTCATTAGATTGAATTTAGCTCCAAGAAGCCAGTCTTTTACGAGTCGACAATTGCTTAAAAGTGTAAGGAGAGGAAGAGCGTTGGGTCCAATAAAGTAGCTCAGCCCAAGAGTAAAACAACCTTTGTTAAGGATATGGCCTAGAGAAAATCAAATTTCCCACCTCGGAAGAGCTCACAGAGGAGCATGAGGTGATCCTGAGACTCCGTTGCAAAAGTGCGTAGACAACACTCCTCGAATTGAATTTGTCCCCAGGAAACCAGTCTTTAACGACTGGAGAGGACGATTGAAGCAAGATTTATTTAAGTGTCTCAACAGAAAAAGAGCGTCAAGTGCCAAAAAGTAGCTCAACCCAAGAGCAAAACAACCTTTGTGGAGGATAAATCCTAGAGAAAACCAAATTCCACACCTTGAAAAAGCTCACAGAGGAACACGAGGTGATCCCGAGAGTCCGTTGTAAAAGTGAAAATACAGCACTTGGCCCCAAGAAGCCAGTCTTTGATGAGTGGGCAATTATTTAAGTGACTCTCGACGGTCCAAGAAAGTAGCTCAGGCCAAGAGCAAAACAACCTTTGTCGAGGAAAAAACCTATAGAAAACTAAATTTCACACCTGGGAAGAGCTCACAGAGGAGCAGGAAGTGATCTCGGGGCTCCGTTACAAAAGTACAAAGACAACACTCATCGGATTGAATTTGTCCCCAAGAAGTCAGTCTTTTACGAGTCGGCAATTATTTAAGTGACTCTAGAGAGAAAGAGTGCCGGGTCCAAGAAAGTAGCTTAGTCCAGGAGCACAACAACCTTTGTCGAGGATAAAGCCTAGAGAAAACCCTAGAGCTGGCTACAATATTTTACGAATTTGTTGTTTACCAAATTTTTATAGGATATACGATAAAATTGATTTTTTGGATGTTTAGATGTTTATTGTGTTGTTGTGAAAGCTGGAAACATCACGACACCCATTTATGTTGCTGAAAGAGATGAAGCTCCTAATCATTGTCACATTATTAAATTCGAAATCAAGAACTATTGGTACCTTCGAAATTTCTGTTGTTTGTAGTTGTGAGCGTCTCCGGTATCGACTATCGTGGTTTTATGTCAATAAATTTCTCACTGAGTGGAGGCAATGTATTGATGACATTACCATATGTATATTCAGATTTGCAAGAACTGAAATGAGTGAAAGTATTTTGTTTTGGTTTTGTTATTTAACATGTAATGTTGGGGTTTGAGACATTGAAACTATATTCCTTTGATAATTAAAGTACACGAAGAGGTACTGCTTCATACAAGTGTTCGCAGATTCTATTCAATCATTCTTGTCATGATGCGAGATATCTTTTCCAACAAGAAGAAAGGACAAATGTCACACATCCAATTTTGATCTTTTGATTATCTTTGGTTGTTGATGAGCAAACCAAGACTACTAAATTTATACTTTCTGGTTCTAATGATTTTAGTTTTCCGTTTTGCATTTTATTATATTCAGAGGATAATAATCACTATTTTCTCGCAATAATATATATCAAACGTTATGGCGTTTTACCATAATTCTATATTAATGTCGTTATAAAAATTATACTCTTGACAAAATTTAATCAATAATTGTCTAAAACTTATAATCCTAAATGACTAATTCGGGTTTTAATCAACATACAACCCCGCGCCGGGCGCGGGGACCTCCCCTAGTCTTATGTAAAATTGTTCTTGTCAACAATACTTGAATGTTTTAACTTTTAAACCTCCCTTTTTTTCAGCCCTTGAAATTTTTTTGAGCCACTAATATTTTTTATATAAGAAAAGTCAACATCCTTTAATTTATGATTTGTCAAAAAAGTTGCCTAACTTAACTCATGGTATAAGTAAACACTTTTAGAAATGTTCACGCCACATTTGGTCCTCATGGGATAGCTTGGATGACTCACACACTTGTTTATCTCCAACAAATTATATTAAATGTTTAATTAAAATGAATTTTTATTTTTTTTCCAAACCAAGTCTTATCTCTAATGAAGGAAGGGACTTCCATTTTCGATTACACCGTGAGATAAACTGATTCGTCAAAAAATTATAATTCAAATACAGATTGATAACAAAACTAAACTTATATAATAGTCAACTCTGACCTTTTAGTTGCGCAAAAACCAACTAGCAGTGACTTAAACCAAGAACTGAAGCTTGATCAAACCAATTATCACAATCAAACCACTTTATTTCCTGAGTCTGACCCAAATCCTTCAATCATCAAATAGATCTCTTCACAAAGTTTTACAACATTAGTCTTTCAAAACCACAAGTAAAAATAGATCAAACACAAAGTTTCAAGCAATAAGTTAAACAAAATAGATCGAACATAAAGCTTTGACACAAAGAAGAAAATCATTATATCTCTCCATCACTAAGGGCCTTCTTCTCCAGTCTCTCGATCTCTCTATTACTATTATTGGTTTTAAATGAAAGAAACTGTAAGTGATTTAAACCAAGAATTATCGTCAAAAAACAAAATTTACACCAATAAGTGAAGCTTGATCAAACCCATTATCAGAATCAAGCCACTGCATTTCCTGAGTCAAGTCTTCAATCATCAAATAAATCTCTTTCGAAAGAGAATGAGATCGGTCTTCAGCATTAAAGGCATTAACTTGATTTCTAATCTCAATCCAGCTCCAACCTGGAACTTTCTTTACACCTCTCTCTTTCATCATCTTCTTCACATTTGCTTTCTCTTCCCATTTCTTTAGATCACTATACATATGAGACAACGAAACATAGGCAAAATGATCTTCTGGTTCGATCTCTAGCAAATGGTTAGCCACTTGAGTAGCCATCTCTATCTCTCCACAAGCCCTGCAAACTCCAAGGAAAGTTTTCAACACCATTGGATCAGGATTCAATGGCATTGATTCGATTAACTCTTTCACTTTGTTCACAAGCCCTGCTCTGCCTAAGAGATCAACTGCAGCTGCATAATGTTCCATTCGAGGTTGGATTTTGTAAACCGGTTCCATCGAGTTAAGTAACTCAAGCCCCTCTTGTATCAAACCCGTGTGGCTACAAGCTGTTAGAATTGC